CCTCCCTAATCCTCTCTTTGGTCCTCTAAGTATAAAAATTCACGAGGACAGCATGGGGGGGGGCACTCAGAGGGACGTGTGTGTGTGTGTGGAGGGGGGAACATGGCATATTGGCAATGCCCACGCAACCATCAAGTGAAAGCTGGGACAGGAGCAGATACCAAGGAAATCTTGATTAGTGTTTAAAACCTTTGAAGCATATCTGAAAGCATATTTCAGATATGCTTGTCCTAAGCTTTAAAAATAATAATTTAAGAACAATCAAGGAGCAGAGAAGTATAATAGAAAGAATGCTCGCTTTAAAAATCTGTAAAACTGGTTAGAATGCAACATTTACCACTAGACTGAACTCTACCCACGAGTGAAGAAAGCAGTTGTTAAAATTTATTCTGCATAAAAGCAGTTTAAAAATCACCTACTTAGCTTAAAGAGGTCCTGGCATCACCAAAATCTTGTCCACTTTTAAAAGTACCGAATTAAGGAGTTACAAATACTTGAGTGAATCTTAACTGATGAATTTAAAGTATTCTGTCCCAAGTCAGAGGACCATTTTCTGCAAAATTAAAACATAGAGGCTCAGAAGAACATCCTCTTTCTTCAAGGGCATATTAAGCAGAGGCCGATCAAGAATGAGACCCTAATTCTGTCCCATCTGTAGTGAGGAGAAATATCAGGGTAAGGCTGGAGGCACCAGGTGAAAGAATTCACCAGAGACAGAGTGAAGAACAGGAAGAAGAGAAGAATTTACTGAAATACCCTGCAAGGAAGCAGAGGGAGGGACAGGAGATGTCTGCATGTGAAGAAGGATTTGGGCTCCCTTTATAACCTGCTTTTCATGACTGGGGGAGTCGGTCTCTGCCAGCTGTGATGCTGGGACCTCAGGTTTCCTTGAGCCTTCCCTACAGGTGTCCTACCTGCTTCTGTTTGCCCTGTTCCCACGTTCCTTAGAATTCTCAATAGCGCCCTAGTGGTCATGTGGACCCACGGCCAGGTTCCCAAGGCAACACTATCATTTTGTGTCTCCCAGCATCGTTCAGCTGAGCGAAGTGCAGAGATTTAAATTTTAATTCCATTACATAATACCCCAACACCACCTTTGCTCTTTCTACCTGCCAGGTGAATCCTCGCCTTTCTGGACTACAAAGACTCATCTGGGCAGTGGGAGTGTTCATGTTGTATAGGGCCAGATGTTCTTATGAAAAGGCTAAATCTTGATTGGGTTTGCCATCATCACCAAAGTAGCCAATTAGTTTATACAAACCTACAACCACCCCTTTCCTTATTTAATTCATCGTAAACAAAGAGAGTTGACAACAAGCTATAGGTCAGTGTTTTGTGTGTGGACTAGAAGAATCACTGAACTTGGAATTAGAACTAGGTTCTGCTCTTGACTCTGTCACTAACTCCCTGGTGACCACAGCTCTGCACAGGCTCAGAGTATAGTAGGGTAGTCTCCCCAAAATGTGCAGCCAGACCTCTTCTAAGAAGTCCAGAGGCGGCTTTTTCTGAGATGTGCCACGTTGGTATGTGAAACTAGGGTTTATCAGAGACACACCAATCTTAACAAGAGACAACCATGTCAAGGCTTAGCCATGTGAAGCCATCCTTTTATAATGGGGTGCTATCCATGGAAAGGGGAGGTTCCAGCTTCCCTGCCCCACTCACAGAAGGGTGAAGCTGAGCAGCAAGGAGAAGCCAAAAGGATTATGAAGAGGAGGAGGCACATAGAGCAGAGAGACATATGAAGAGCTGCACTTTCTTCTCAGCCTTGGACTTGTACCAGGGACTTGGGGGACACAGGAGGAGACACTTGAGACAGAGACGTGGGCGAGAGACCTGTGGGGAGGTAGAGATGGGTAGCCTTTATCTTGATTTTGATTTTTGCTCTTTCTCCTCCCAGACTTGCCTGACCCCTTCTGTCCCTTCCCGATGGGACCCCACCCGAAGGTGCCTTAGACTTGTGGCCAGCTTTTGGGCCCCAGTGGCCCCACTTTGGGCCAATCATAACTGTAATTGGAAATGATTTTAATTATATTCCTTCTCTTCTCTCTATCGTACACTAATTTTATTAATGTTCTATTAAAGGCCTTAAGCACAAAGAGTATGTTTTGTCTCTTTATGCAGCAGATGGCAGAACCCATGTGAAGCAGATAGGTTTGGGGTCCCAGGCTCCCCTCATTGTTCCTACTAATACTTTCTTATCATGTGAAGTCCTCTTCCTATCTCATTGACACCCCAAGCCCCCTAGCACAGGATATCAATCCCCATTTTGTCTCATTTTTTCTTAGAACTGACAGCCATGTACATTCTCTATTCACAGGTTATCAAATTTGGTTTTTTCTCCTACTAATCTGCCTGATGTTAATCTGCTTGTTCATCCAGCCTAAGAAGAACCCAGAGCACAGGGGGAATTTGCCCATGCATGCTGATAGCACCATCTCTTTTTATTCCATGTCCTGGAACACAAATCCAGGAAGCACTATTTACATGGATTAAGATAAGAATGGGGTCCTTGGGGTAATTAGAGACCCTGGGAACTCTGAGCAAGTGAGCAAAGCTTTCTGGGTCTGAGTGTCCTCCTTGAGGGCAAAACCAGTGATGCCCACTTTTGAGTATTAAATTAGGCGATGAGTGTAAGTTTCCTAGCATGGCACAGCCTCTCTCTCCGATGCCCAACACAAAACTGGACAATGCTGCTTTCTGACTATGACATTGCTTTGAATCCATCAAAACCATTCATTATTGTTCTTTACCACTACTAAAAAATTAGCCCCATATATAAGCTCTCACCTTGGGCCTTTGAGAGGCTGGAGCAAACGCATGGTGAGGTTTTCAGGTGGGAAGCTTCAATGGGTGACTTTGGAAGCTCAGCACAGTGATTGAGAGCTTTTTGGACAGAAAGGGAGGGTGCAGCTGCTGCCGCTGGTGGAAAATACTGAACAAGATAGTCAGGATGGGGCAGGAAGACAACGTCTGAGTTCTTGAAATCTTCTGCTCGAGAGAGAGTAGTGTCCCTGAGAATGCTACTCTGTTCACCTCTTCACGAAGATGAGATCTTAGTCCGGGGTGGCTCTCGAAGTTGGGAATCTGTCGCCCAGCATACTCACATTCCTGGAGCTCATGCTTGAGCTTACCCAGTACTGATGCTGGTTGCTCCTTAAGGAGCCAAGAAACCAGTCAGAAAAGGTAAGAGGGAGGGCTATGATTAAGATGGATCATCACAAAATCAAAGACTCTTATCTTCAACTGGTAATTTGGGAGATGGCCCTGGGGGAGGACAGTCCTGTTATAATCCAATTAGGCTGCAAACATAAATGCTAGAAAGGAACAAAAGCAGGCAAGATCCTTTTGTGTTACAAGAGGAAGACAAGTAGGTTACACTGAGTCATAATCAAAGACTTCCATTTGCCAGCCCATTAACTCCTGAAGAAGCTCCAGGGACTCAGCTATAGTCACAGACACCCTTGAATAAGCCTCCCTGAGACGCAGTCCAGCTGCTCTCAAATCTCAAATCATCTCCTCATCTCCTCAGAAGTCCCTAAAATGAGTCATATCATTTCCTTTGGCAATGATCCCTGTGATGCCATCATCTTTTATTTGAACATCACCTGGAAGTTTCCAATGAGCTCTCAGAAGTCTACACAGATAGCAAAGAGCACTTGTTGCTGTATGCCGGGACTAGAGGGTCCGCAAATGTCTCGTTTCACCCACATATCCCTGCAGGGAGCTGACATTGTAACTCCCATTTTAAAGATGCAGAAAGCAAGGAACAGAGTTTTTAGTAAATTGTCCATATAGCACTACTTTTACAGACAGATTCTGGATTTGAACTGAGGTCTCTTTCCATTATAGCACCTGGATATTCTGTCATACCACTTAACCCCTCAAAAGACCTACCAAATAGGCTTTATTAGTTTCATTTTCCATTTGGGAAAGCAAAGATCCAGAAAGTTTCCCTAGGTCACAAAGCAGGTAAGAAGCCTAGGACTTAAATTCAGATTTTCTGACTCTAAATATTGCTTTCTTCATGATACCAGAGCCATTTGGTCATATCACAAAACACTTTGGTGTGCATGGAGCAGAAGTCCCCAACACTGTCTCCAAAATTACATGTGTGCCTACGCACACACAAACATGCACACATATATACACAGAGAGAAACATGCTACTTCAAGACACTAAGGGTAAAAAAAAAGAAATGACCACTGAAATTGATCACTGGACTCCAACATTTTTTGGAGTTCTTTGAAATCATAGGTTAGCAGGGCCATTCCCGAAAATGAAGTAAAGCCGATGGCAGGAACCATGGAGCTCTTGTCCAATGTACTGATTTCATTCTCATGAAATGCAGAGCTTTCCACTTAGGTCAGCAGCTTACGCAATGAGCTGCAGGCCAAGGAAGACAGGCGTGGGCCAGCCCCTGGGGAATGCCAGGATCCCACTGATAAGCTCAGGACACAAAGATCCCAGCCACAAGAGAGCCAGCAGAGGGACGATGAGCAAGGCCAGAGGCCACCCAGATGTCACCCTTCACATCACCACCATCCAGGGCAAGGAGAGGACAGTCCATTCTATGCTGCAGAATGGACTCTTAGAGAAAATGCACACACAGGGCTCCCTTAAGTGTCAAAAGTAAAGTTTAAGCGTCTTGAATCACCTGTGCCCAGGAAAGACATGGGAGAAGAAAATCTTTGTCAATAGTTCTGTTGTCAGAGACATCTGGGTTCAAACCATCTTTTTCTCTTCTAGCATAGTGTGCATATATGACCTTGGTCAAATATATCTCGCTTGGCACAGTCAATAAAATGAACATACTATTTCAGAACCGGGAGAGTACTGTGAAAGTTTCTGTGAAATAATATTTAAAGGGTCAAATACTAGGGGCTTAAAACATTCTTCTTTGTGATTAATTGAAACAACTCTGCTTAGTAGATGTTGCTAAGGAAATACCAGCCAGGAGTTCAGTGATCACATGAGCAGCCAACAAGAAAGCAACATACCTGGTAAGTTCTGGAGCCAGAATTAAAATCAATTCAACATCCAGATGTAAAGCCAGAGCATCAGACAGCATCACCCAAGGAGCATAGGTGACTGTATTCAGGGGAGATGGTGTGGTGGCTTAAAAGTACAGGCAAAAAAAAAAAAATTAAAAAGTTAGTAAAATCCTGAAAGAGAAAGGGTGAAAAACATCTGTTGAGAGTGGACTCTAGTCTCAATACTGGTCAGATGCCGGGTTTATAAAGGAGGTTCATGATTATTAATGTTTATTTATCAGAAACCAAATCTCAGTGAGAAAGAGGCACAGTCCAGAGCTGTGAGTGGAGAGGCACAAGAGGAGGACCAAAATTCTTTGAACACTTACTAGGTAAGGCATTTATTAAGCTAGGTACTTTTGGTACCTTATCGTATTTAATTCCATATTCATTCTACAAGGGTAATGAGACAACTAATTGCCTCCCCATTAGTCATATGCCCTTAGTACTTTTACAAATGGAGCCCTCTGATTTTTGCACACAGCTGGATTCCTCAGCCTCCCTCTGCAGCCAACTTGTGTGTTTCTGCTAAGCAGCTTACTCCTATTGTCTAGCACCCGGAATAGGAACATAACTGACGTGTGAGACTTCTGTATCACCCTCTTGAAAGTAAATTGCCTGCCTTCCACTTTTTATCCTTCCACCATCTCATGAATGAAACGTGGCTATGATGTTGGTGCTTCCGCTTCATTATGTGACTGAAGACCACACCTCAGGCAGAGGGTCTTGACCAGGAGTGATTTTGCCCACTCAGGGGATATTGTCATTGTCTAGAGATATTTTTGGTTGTCACACCAGGAAAAGGATGTTACTGGCATATAGTAAACAGAGACCAGGGATACTGCTAGACATCCTGTAATGGGGGAGATGAACAGTGCAAAAATGCACCATTAATCAGACCATGAATCGCCTCCCCATTAGTCACCCTTGCCTTCCCTCCTCTACACTCTATCTTCTCCATCTGCAAATGGCATCTTCCCATTCAGGATGCTCTCTTCAGCCAGCTATCTGACTGGCTCATTTTCCCCTTCATATTGAGGAGCTCTAAATATACAGGCTTAATGAACAATTTCCATCTTTACAGTGATGTGTGTCACCACCTTTGGAGAGACAATGTCAGCCCACAGCTTGCTGTTCACCTCCTGTAACTTACATGTCATCACAGGAAGTGGAATGATCAATAGTGAACAGAATTGGGTCCTTCTAATTAGTGATTAGGACCACTGGCATCCTGCAGTAATAAAATTTGCAGAATCCCAGAACTCTTCACTGGCCTCATGACAACAGCCTATGTCACACAGCACAGCACAGGATCTAGAAACAATTTTACATGAGTCACTCCTCACATGAGTTTAATTTCAGGTCTGTACAAAGCAATCTCTCTCATAATCCTGTCCCTACATAGCTCTATTCTGTCTTTCACAACCCTTTTCCCCAAATAGGCAGTGGGATAATATAGCACTGGAAGGAGCTAGACTACCAATTTATCTTCTTCTTGTCAGGGGTGTAATCCAGTGATCTGAACTACTTCTTTGGGGCGCTTAGTATCTTGTGATATGTGACACCTTCCATTAGCAATGGGAAGGTGCCCAGGTGGATAACTCATGCACTAGCTCAGCTCCCTAATATCTTTTCATCTGCATAGGCCTTTCCCAAGACCAAAGAGTATCCAAAGAATATCCTGAGAATATGAAGATGGCCTCTCTCTTAGAGGAAACTTTAACATTACAGGATGAAAATGTAACCACAGAATGTATGATTCTAAGGATACTAGACATTTAAAACTTCATATTTGATTTAAAAAAAGTGTTTCATATTAACTCATTTCATTAATTTTCACAACAACCCTAAGAGTTTTGCATTCTGATTCCCATTTAAAAATGCTCATTTTACTAGTCTAGTCACTATGGACAGCTGAGCAGAGGTTCTTGAAAACACTAAAAATGGAGCTACCATATGACCCAGCAATTCCAAAGGACACAATTCCAAAGACTCTACCCAAAGGACACAAAAACACTAATTCAAAAGGAAACCTGCACTCCTGTGTTAATTGCAGTATTACTTACAATAGCCAAGATATGGAAACAACCTAAATTTCCAAAAACAGATAAGTGGATCAAGAAGATGTGGGGCAATTATACAAAGTGGAATACTACTCAGCAATCAAAACAGATAAACTCATGCCACTTGCAGCAACATGGATGAAGCTGGAAGTGACTGTGTTAAGAAAATAAATTAGAAAGAAAAAGGTATATGTAGGGTGGTTTTACTTATATGCAGAATATAGAGAAACCAAACAAAAGATCAGGCAAATAACAAAACTTTCAAGCTGACCATAGATCTGAGGCATACAGGAGGGGAGTGTCAAAACAAGGGAGGGAAGAACACAAGGGATTATGGTGATGGATCATGGGTGTGATGGTGGTGGGCAAACCACAGGACTACATCTGAGGGGAGACATCAAATACTGTCCAAAAATTAACAGTGATAAAATACTTAAAAAAAATAAAAATAAATTTGAAAAAAATATATAAAAATGTTTAAATTGTCATTTTAATGGAAAATCTGATGCTTTCTCGTTGTTTTTCTGTGAGTCACATTTTTTAATGATATAGGTGAGAAGATAACTTGGGGGGGGGGCAATTACTAGGTGTACTGGCATAGCCAGGATTGAGCCACTTATGCTATTGAGATCACTAGAAAACAGGCATATCCTACATCTATGGCTTAGTACTCCTGTGCCACTTTCAACATGGGTTCTTGGCCACCCTACTCTTGGCGCATCACCTGGAATACAAGGCATTGCTCCCTCTTTATTTTTTTTTAAGATTTATTTATTTATTTATACAAGCACTGGTACAGTCAGAAGCGCGGGAGGGTGAGAGAATTCGCCAGAGCCAGAGTGGGGAACAGAACAGGCAGACTGACGAAATACACTGCTGAGGGGAGCAGCAGTCGTGGCAGGAGAGGTCTGTCGCGCCATGTGGGACCCTCACCAGAGGCCGCGGATCGAGGTCGCAGACAGCTCTGCAGCCCAGTGCTCAACTGCTGCGCCACCAGGGGAGGCCCGGCATTGCTCCCTCTTTATATGTAACTCTTTGTGAGCCCCAGGGGAAAACAGTAGAGGTGGCCATAGTCCATGTTGAACACACCTCCACTCTTCTTACTCTCACATTCTTTATTCTATACTCTGTGACACACAGACTGTACAGTACCTTTTATGCTTTGCTGAAGGCTTGGGGAAATCATAGCTCCTCTTACATCATTGTTAATGGTTATATGTGAATATTAGGCATGGGTTTCCTGGAAGTTCCTTAGCACCCAGTCACCTAATCAGGAACTTCTTACCAATTACATTTCTTCATTACTTCAATGCTCCTCTTTCTTAGTGCCTTTTCTCTCTACCACACAGAGGCAACACTCATGGGCACCTACAAATACTACCCACAGGCTATTGCAAGTTACCACAGCACGGAGATGTCATGAGCAGTCCAGCCAGGGAATCAAGTGAATAGGGAAATTGAGTCGTGAAGATCCAAAAATTGAAAATTATCCAGGAGAAATTAACAAATCCAATGCTATGTAGAGTAACACTCTTGTTCTCCAACTCAGGTAAGAGAAAACTTGGGGAGAGAGGACTCCCTAAAGCCTATGTAGATAACCAGAATCCACGTGGAATAAAAAGTCAGCCTGTTATCTCTCTTCTTTTCAGGATGCATTTTCCCTCCATGGGGATATTTGCACTGTTTTCTCAAGATGACCCAAGACCCTTGGAAAACAGAACTATTGCTTGTTATCTCTCAGAAATAATTTTAGCAAATGAGAACAATTCTATCAATATCCTGAAAACACTTAATCTTCCTTCCTTTGTTAAAGTAAGAAAAATATTATCATTGAGTGAAAGTAAATTTAATGAATCAGCAATAATGACCCAGAATTTGGACTCAAGTCTTATTCAAAATGTCATGCACCTTTCCTGCATTATTGTTTCTCTCAGTTATACACCTCGACAACATGGTCTTACTCTGGTATCAGTGACATTATGACATATTGGCCTAGAAATAATACATCATTAAGAGCTTGAACCAATTGTTATTAAGAACCAAGTGTCATTAAGAGCTGGAAAAAAATAGTTGATCAGTTTAGGGCATATTCAAACCATTAGAAATTCTTATGATTTTGTGTTGGTTGACTTCCGGCAAAATAAACTTTATTGTGAGAATGTGTGTGCTTGCACACCTGTGTCTACATAAAAGAACATCTCAGGTGTCAAACATTGCTACCTGTTAGATATAGCTTAATTAATTGGAAGCACATAGAACCAATATCTTTCTAAGCTGCAGGTGCAAGAAGCAGAATCAGAGCTTGTGCATCCAAACAGCAGTTCTGCTCCCAATCTTCTAGTTTCTGGGAAGCCTCTTTACTCGAGTGCTTATAAATCATGTTTTGATGTTGAATCACTAGGGTAAGTAATTAATAGTGTTGGGGTTGTAGTTTGTTGATTCATTGACTATCTACATTACAAAGTTACCACTTCTATGACAAGGCTGACAAAATATTAAACTATGTCTGTTCCTTCTAAGGCTAATTGTTTAACACCTCTTTGAAAATGATAATGACTAACATTTGTTGAGAATTTAAAATGTTGCAGGTACTGTGTTAAGCACTTTATATAAAACTCCCTAGTCCAGGACAATTTTATGAATTAGCTATTATTTGTCCCATTTCAATGATGAGAAGACTGAAACATACATGTATCCCTAGTAAGTGGTGGATGTAGGTAGCCTCCTACTTAACCATTATCTTGATGAGTCCAGAATTTTAAGGAGGGTTATTGCATTTCAGGTCATCTAGGTTAAGAATAGAGAATTACTCCCCGCTCCTCCCCCAGCTGCTTCTGTTCTGCAGCCATCTTTCAAAGGTTTAGCTTGTCTTTGACCCCTAGTTGGTGGGGGAGAGGTAAGAACAAAGAGGGAAGTAAGCACACCGGACTATGGTAGGAGACAGTGGGTGATTTGGTGGTGGGTGTACTATGGTGGTGATACCTGGTTGAGGAGCACCTTAACAGTATCTCACTTAAAAACA